GGCTTCTGTGCGCAAACACTGTCTCTGGCTGGTTTGGTATAGGTCAGCAGTCAGCAATCTTTGTCTCTCAGTCTGTCAGGGTAATATGCTGCAGGAAGCAGAGCAGGCTGCAAGGATGGGCTAGCTACCACTTCCCTGAGCTCCCATTGGCCGCGAATGCCAAACTGCGGTCACTAGGAGCTGTGGGTGCTGTGCCTGTGGATGATCAATGTTTGCAAAATGAGTTGCAGTCCATCATTGGATTATCCTGATGGACTATACGCTAAAAGGCTACCGACCCCTGGTATAAGTGAATATTTTCTCCTAGTTCTGTACCTGCACTTTGTACAGTTTGCTCAGTAAATGGTTTAGTCTTTGGAACAAACTAAAGATATCGACAATTTCTATTGGGCTACGTCTACACTGGCCCCAAATTCCGGAAAAGCCATGCAAAGCAGGTAAGTCAGAATAGGGAAATCCACGGGGGATTTAAATATCTCCCGCGGGATTTAAATAAAGATGTCCGCCGCTTTTTTTCCGGCTTGGGGAAAAGCCGGAAAAAAGCGTCTAGACTGGCGCGATCCTCCGGAATAAAGCCCTTTTCCGGAGGATCTCTTATTCCTACTTTCAAGTAGGAAAAGGGCTTTATTCCGGAGGATCGCGCCAGTCTAGACGCTTTTTTCCGGCTTTTCCCCAAGCCGGAAAAAAAGCGGCGGACATCTTTATTTAAATCCCGCGGGGGATATTTAAATCCCTCGCGGATTTCCCTATTCTGAAGTTGAGAATTAGCATGCCCCTTTCAAATAAGGGGCCAGTGTAGACGTAGCCAGGGAGTATTGGCCCTTAATTGTTCATTCAGTGGTTCTGTCATTGCAGGAAAGCCTTGTAGCTATCACCCAAGATGGTTTCCAAAAAATCACTTTGGAAAACATACTTTCTTTTATATGACTTGAGTCAGTACTTGCTGGTTTAGCTCAGGACTTCACTGAAGATTCTGTTATGTTCCTCCACTGATGTGTTGCCCATAAAAAGGACTACACCATTTATGTTCTCTAATAGCTCTGCCGTCTTTTATGGGTCATTTTCAGGAGCACTAGTAATCTCAAAATGTAAACTTTGAAAGCAAAATATCCCAAATGGTATAATGATTGGAGGAGTCACGTTAGCTCTCTCATTTGATAAATGAAATCACCAGTATTTGTGTATTTACAGCATTTGCCTCCTTTAGGAGAATGTAGGGAAGTAAAATCCCATTTAATTGATTAACTAGTTAAATGTAATGTTTAACCAGTTAACCAATTAAAGGAGGACAGGAGGGGGCTGCTGTCATCCGGCTGGAGCAGCCCCTGACTCCAGCATGCCCAGGCCCACTGCAGAGAGGGGTTGTTCCAACCTGGCTGAAGTGCCCGTGTCTGCAGTGGACCCTGTGGGGCTGGAGCAGCCCCAGTCTATGGTGGGTAAGGAGCTACTCCAGACCCCACTGTTTAACCAGAACTGTAATGGACAGGAGGAGTGCTGGCTTTTTCTGAACATCCCAACATTAAATGACTAAAAGATTAAACTCAGATAGCTAAGGGTATAGCTACGGGTAGGTTCCAGGAGAGCCAATGGGAGAAGGTGTTGAGATTTGAATGGAAGATATACCTGCCTGCTGTTCTTCTTTATGTGAGTTTTAAGCCAGTTGGGGGAACAAGATGAATTGAACCAGGCAGAACTAACATGCCTACAAAGAATGCTGGGCATGGAAATGGACTGGACCTTGAAGCACAGATTATATGTAGATAGGGATATGTCTGTTGAGATGCAATCAGGCTCTTGTTTGGTTTGTGTCTCCCCCCTCCCCACCCATATACTGTACTTTAAGTTGTATCCCAGGGTTGGAATTTTCTCTGTGTTTTAAATTGTTCTTTTCTCAATTGCTTTAAAACATCTAGCATCCAAGAATATCTTTTTGTTTTGTTTAATAAAACCATCTTTTTTAAGGTGATGATTTGATTCTTGTGTCCTGGAAGGTAATTGGAGGTTTGTGTATGCATGCCTAAGATTGAGAGTCTTAGGGTACGTCTAAACTACATGCCTCTGTCGCCAGAGGCATGTAGATTAGGCTACCAGACATAGTAAAATGAAGCGGCGATTTAAATAATCGCCTCTTCATTTAAATTTACATGGCTGCTGCGCTGAGCCAACAAACAGCTGATTAGCTGTTTGTCGGCTCAGCGTGCTAGTCTGGATGCTCCCGTGCCAACCTGAAAGCCCTTTATCGACCTCCCCGTTATGCCTCGTAGGATGAGGTTTACCAGGGAGGTTGATAAAGGGCTTTCATGTCGGCA